GAGAAATAGTGTACAAAAGAAGAGGGGCAGCTAAAAAGTACCCCGAAGTACATTTTAGTCGTACTTTCAGCATGCATGTGGGGGATGGGGATGTCGTGGTGCGCCGGTAGTTACCATTTTGAAAAATCTTGTAAAACTTGGTCCAGGGTGTTATTCGGTGCGTTGACCACGAATATAAAAGAGAAGAGACATATAAAAGAGACAGTCTTTGTCGATTTCTCGTGTCCTTAGCTATCGAACGGTATATAAAGTGTTGATGCACAAAGCTTTCCCAGTCCAAAAAAGTCTTGCTCCGGCGACTCATGGAAAGCCGGAGCGGGGTGAAGCAACTTGGTATTGAATATCTCCACCTCATTTTTTGGAATTTTTCACCCAACAACCTAACCATTAGAAAGCCCACGAAAAAGGGATTCGACGTAGACCGTCTCTTTTTCTCTATCTCCCCTCCACCTAGAAATACAAATACATGGCATTTTAGTTAAAAACATATGTGTTTTTGTCAAGAAATTCCTGCGTGAAAAATGAATGAAGGTGCCTGATTGTCTAACAGTATCACAGAGCGATACCTTGCCAGTGAACGTAGACCGTCTCTTTTTTTCTAGCTTTTCTCTTTCTCTTAGAAATGGAGCGCAAAGTGGTTGCATAAAATCAGTTGATGCTGAAGCTAGATATGATTTTTTGTATCTGAATTCTCAGAAGGCCTGGAAAAAAGAGACGATCTACATCGGTTGTGTATGTTTCAAGCTTTCGAATGATATGTCGACTGATGAAACATAAAGACGAGTGGCGTAGTGGGATGAGGCGCCGCTATGACCAGATCGGACGTAGGTTCGATTCCCCCCCCCCTGGGCCAACCAAGCCCTCTACCCTCCGGGGCCGATAAATTGGTGCCGAGTAATTTGGGAGGATAAAAGCACTGACTTGGAAACGGCTGGCCCCCGCAAGTCACTGTAATAGGCTCGCACGCATACAATTGCCTCTTCGACTATGAAGTTAGTGTGTGCGTTCGGTGCATGCCCTCAGAGGGTATTGAAGACGCCGAATCCTTTATCCTTTTATGAAACATAAAGCTTTCCCGAGTCAAAAAAGTCTCCGTTAGATGATCTTCCAAGGCTTATGAATTGAATAAATTTTCATATTACACCTTCATACCGCTTATTTTCCTTCTTTTTACTCCCGCTCCCGTTAGGCAAGTAAGCTTGCGTCAGCATTCATCTTAAGACTCAGTTACTCTCTTCACTTCTAGGTTGGAAGTAGCCAAAACCCCCTTCACCTGGAGGAGACCCTGCTCTCCCTATGGCCCCGGGCCATACCCTCGATACATAGAGCCACACAATCTGGTAACCTTCACTTTGAGGGCTATGAGGGGACACAACCTTCACCTGGGAAGAAAACAGAAGTTATCCGGGGCGAAGCCCCGGACTCATATCCACGAAAGTCCATAATGGAGGAAAATGGACTTACTTAGTCCATTTTATTCGTTCGCGTTAGAAAGTGGTCGAAATCGGCTCCCGCTTACGATATTCAAAATTTTTCATCTCATCGCAACAGCGAGGCAAAGCGGTGAAATGAACATGATTCAAGCTTACTTGGGCTATCGCTCGCGGAAGATGACGTCAAAAGTCCATTTTAGAATGGGGCAAAATGGAGTTCACCTCCATGTTCATTCTCTCTCACCTTTCTGATAAGCCCATTTTACTTCCAGCAGCCAGATGTGCTGGGACTAAGCCCATTTTAGACCTTTTCGCATATTTTTGATTGCGATTTTTTGAGAATATGTTCCCTAGCCCATTTTAAGATACTAAGCGATCGGAGAAAGTTTTATCTTCTTTAGGAGGGCCAAAAAACTATCTTTTCCAAACAGCCTTGAAATGCTTTGAAAATCATAGAAAAATTTTCTTCGTAGACAGACAGACAGACACAAAGACAGCAATTCAAAATTCGCGATTTTGAGTTTGGTAGCAAGAAGTACTGAAGTACCGCTAGCAAGTCAGAATATTCTGTGAAAAATTTCTTACTAGCTATAGTCACTTCTTGCTCTCGTATGGAAATATAGAAAATATCGCGATTTACCAAAATTAAACAAGTCATTTTATAAAAATCTTCTCGATACGTCATTTTGTCACCGAAAACACTTTTCAATACCCAAAACGTCGAAGCGAACTCGTTTTATTTTCGAATATAGAGCATCACATTAGGGTTGAGAAAAAAGGTTACCTGATTGGTACTGGATTATGCGAGAGCTTTTCCAACAACCGGTTAATTTAAATTCTGTTCAAAATCTATAATAAGGTTGCCAATAGCAAAAGGCATTGGATCAAGCATTCCCTATATGCTGATCAAGACGGATAGTCCGCTTTGCTTCAGTTTTTCGTAGCACTTCCCCTAAGCAACTTTGATCATCAAAAGCACATATGACTTGGGATCAGAGTATATGTCTAGTTCTGAACGCAAAATTGAATTCAGTGACTTTGTCATCATTCTAGTATCCACCCCTCAAACTCACACAGTTGATGCAAGAAAAACAACTTCATTTATCAAACGCCATATTTGCATGAAAGTTTTGGGGTTGCTAAAGTACAGCATGAGAACCCATCAATTTTTTGCAGATCCAAAGTTTTTCCAGCTTACAAGCCTTTGTGTTGTAGTGTAGTACAAGGTTTTCTGTGAGATAAGCATTTTGATTCACAAATTGCAATGCAAGTCTAGCCAAGGTTTGCTTTCTGCTGGAAACTTCACATACGAATATGATTCAATGCAGATTCATAGAAGTTTTGAAGAGCAAATGCTTAGGTATTACTTGGATTTTAGATGGACTGAAACTAATTTAGATGCATAGTCATAGTTAATAAATGGCATTCTATGAGGTGTAATGAAATGAAAAAGAATGGAGTATCCACGTGACTGATATAGTAAAGTTAGATCAGCCTAGATATCGAGCACTTGGTGGGAATGAGTTTGCAAGAGTGAGTAAACAGGTTGAGGCAAGTTGAAGAATGGTTTGGTGAAGCATTTTTGTATGGAATGAATGGATTTGCGAACGCGATATCTTATCGCATCGCAGGGACTAAGTCCATTTTATTCGCGTTTCATTCGCGAAAAGCCCATTTTTAAAATGGACATTCGTGGATATCATTCCCGGATGTTATAATCCTGACTATATTGGAAGAATGTGAATGAACCAAATATAAGAAAGAATAACTGAATGTCTCAGCGAAACCGAGAAATTGCTTTTTTAAAGCCTTTTTTACGCTGAAAAGAGAATTTCTGTGAAAATTTTCTCAGAATTCAGGACAGCGTTCCTCATTTAGCCTCCTACTTGACCAAAAATGAGATTCAAAAGTTTGGAAAGCTGTTGGAGTTGAATTAAAATGAGAAACTGCGCTTAATTGTGCGCAGAGAGTCGCGCACGAAAATGCTGGTCTATCTCGTTAGTAAGTGACTTTTAAAGCTTGGGACGTTGTCAGCTCTCCTCGTCGTGTCATGACGGTCAGAATGATGTATAATGTTACAGGGTTTCGTTGAGACCCCGCGGAGATCTACGACCAGAGCCAAATGCCCCGTCGGCTCTGGTCTGTCTCCGCTGCTCGTCTGCGTCTCCGCGCGCTGCGCGCTACCTCGCTACCCCAAACGCGGGGCGCGGGGCATTTGGCTCTGGTACCCTTTTCTTCGCCGTTTCGCACCCAATTTTAGCAAGCTATATATCATTTTGAAGCTCTTGATCTATATTTTCACGCTGACAACGTCCCAAAATCACATTTCTTGATGTGGACGAGAAATCCGGCAAAAACCTTGTTTTCGAAAATCTCTTGTTCTAGTTTACCTCTTTTTACTCGGTTTTTTTGTGCATTCTATAGATCTTGCTTCTGTTCATAATGCAGACAACCACCCAGCCTTTATCTCTTCGATTATTGAGGATTTTTTGCGAAAAATCGTAAAAAGTGCGTTTTTCTTTACCTTGTACTGTTTCAATGCCTTCGCATCGATTTTTTTTCCAGCTTGGGCGATTGTTGCTCAGAACAATAAGCGCAACAATCCAGACAACGTCCCAGGAAACAGGAACGTCAATGCGGGGGTAAAAATTCAAAGGACGCATCAAAAATCAAAACCCCGTGTTGCGAATTGCTGGTCCTGAAGCGAAAACTTCACTTTGAAAAGTCGCCAAACGAAAGATTTTAAGCCTTTATCCTATTCTCAGCAGTTTCTTTTGCTTTTTGTATCTGTTTTGTGTCATTTTCTCTTCTCTGATCATCTTTAAACAACCTTCACTGTTTATGACGTCAGATGTTCAAATAACCTTCACTTTTGACGCCCTGTCTCTAGACTATCGAAGATATGCCCGGGCAGACTTCACGCGATTTGATGGTCGCGACTGAACCGCGACGAGACAACTGTTACAACATCATTCCATGTCGATCAACTTGCATTCGGTTGTGATACTTTTCCAGCCCGAATTTTTTGAATGTGAAATGAAAATGAATGGAAATCTTGGCGATTTGGTCGCGACGATTAAGTCGCGTGAAGTCTGACCGGGGCCTATCGCACCTATGGTGGAGACTTTATGATGGCTGCCCGTTGAGAGCCTTTGAATGTCTGAGTAGTGACAAGGTCATTTCCAAGCATAAGTAACTTTTTTTTAAAGTCGAATCAGCCAACTCCTGCATCAAAGAAATTTCTAAGTTTACCCGTTCGAAGGTATCATGTAGCACAGGCAAAACCGTATGGAAAGTTGATGTAGGTTGCGGCCATACATCGCTGCTGTCATCGCTGTTGCTGCTGTACGCTGTTAATGTTGAATAATGGAACGATTAACAGTAAAGTCTTATTCTCCTATGCGAGCCCTTACCAAATGATGAAAAGTCGCACGGAAAATGGCATTCACAGCAACATTAATGAAGGCAACATCATCATTGCTGTTGAACGACCAACAACATAGAAAAGAAGTTCTCATCAATTGATCATTCAATAACATGTTCGTTAACAACTTGTGTACGGATATCAGGCAGAGCCTTTGTATTTCCCATTCATTTTGATGCGGTCGATCACGTTGTTGGTACTCTCAACTTACGCGGTTATCGTAGCGTCAACTCAGGTGCTGCTAAAATTCTGTCCTGTGGCCTATTCATCATTGATACCTTGAGGTAAATTCTACCTCCGAGTAGTTTTATCACTCATTATCAGCAAGTACCCGTATTAAAAAAGTACCTTGAGGTAAATTCTCAATGTAATTTTGTTGATAATAAGTGATAAAACTACCTGGAGGTAGAATTTACCTCAAGGTATCAATGATGAATACGGCCACTGGTTTCGAAATATATTGTTAGCTTTTAGGCCACACGACTTCACAAGAGTGATCACAATGGTGAGCAGACAGTAACTGAACACGGTCGGCGCCCTTTTTACTGAATTTAGCCTTTCTGCGTGAAAGGCTGTGCAGTGCTCAAAGATGTTTTTAATGTACAGTACCAGAATAATGCACTCACCATCAGACCGGTGCGCACGAGCATGACTTCAGAGTGCGAAGGTATATGCGCTTTTTTCGGGTAAGAGACTATATGTCGCCAGGGCTCCACTCCGCTCCGGCAGCTGGTACAAATTCGTAGTGTCTATAGTGCAGGAGCTGCGTAGATAATGTCATCTTTCGCAGATGTCTGCGTGGGACCATCCCTTTTGCCGACATACAGTACACTACCCACTTTCGCGTTGAAAGCGCCTTGAAGGAGCGGCTCCCGTCCGCTCCAAGAAGAGCTGTACCATATGAACACCATTCCATTAATAAGCTCCAATGGTAAATTTATTACCGAACAGATGCCTTACTAAAGCATCTAGAAAAACGGAAAACAACGATTCACAAACCAGCATGTAGGCAAGCAAGAATTATTGTTTTACTCGATCGCATTGGGCAAGCACGGCAGACGCATTCTCAATATGTTAGCCTTCTATCAACTCTTCGCATGGCCTCGGGCAGAGTTCACGCGATTTGATCATCGCGAATCAATCGCTACAAGACAAATGTTACGAGTTCATTGCATGCCGATCAGCTTGCATTTCGTTTGTGATAGTTTTCCAGTTCGAAATTTTTTGGATGTAAAATGAAAATGAATGAAAATCGCGGCGATCAAATCGCGTAAGCTCTGTCCGTGTCCTTAATCGAAGAAACACGTGCTCCACGTAAGGCTGAAAGGGAATACAACTCAACGAGCAATGCTTGGAGGTTACATTTGTGTGAGAGGATAGCACTGAGTTGTTGCAAAAATAATGAAGAATTTCCAAGCCTCTCTTCAGGACAACTTTTTTTCCATCAAATTCTTCTTCCTTGAAACAAATACAGCATATCGTTGAAAAGTACTTTTTATGCTCTACCTAATGGTGGTTGAAGTCGGAAACCATCCTCATTATTTTGAAGTTACATAGCTTTAGAGTTTCATTGCATTCACTTTTCGCCAAAATTAGAGCACGTATGAACGGCGCTTTTTCGAAAATCCAGCTACTATATGTAACAGAAAATATTTACATTATGCATCTTAACTTTATTTGAAGTTATCCAGATTGACATATCAGCGCCTCAACATGGGTAGTCGTTGCAGTCATTGTATGACCCACAGAGTTTTTTTTGAAGAATAAGACTATCGCTAAAGCTTGCCAAAGCTTTGCTCAATTCTGTATGTGTAAGGCTAGGGCATCCTTTTGGCAGGGAAAACCTATTCGGTAATCAGTACGCAGAAAATCAATTCTAGATTTGGGACTATGAGGCATCTCTATATTAATAAGATCCAAAAATTGTCAGTTTGAAGGGTATGTGCGTTATAGAAACGAGGGCCGCTCAACTGTCTGAAGCTTTGCACACATACGTTTTCAACCCCTGCGCAAATGATAGGCTACATTTTGGCTATTTGTTGGGCTATTCTATCGATTTATTGAATTTAGCACTTTGCAATAAAAATGAATTCCTTTCATCTGCTATCAAACACTTTAGCGTAAACATTGGCGGAAGGGATCGTTCTCATTTCGCAGTAAGGGATGCGGCGGCAAAAGGCTGTAGCAGGTGAGCTGCTCCAAGTTTGCAACGCAATACGCGTTAACTGAGACATCGCCCGGGTAAGGCTGAGAATGCCGGATAGTACTGAAACAAAAGTTCAAAAGACTGACATTTCTGAATTTTAATTTTTTTTCCATCTTGCAAATTTTTTATTCCAAACCTTTCAAACGCGTTTTATACTAAGTTTGCTGCTACAAAAGGGGCCTTATCATTCATAATAACATTTTGAAGGAAGTTATGAATCTTCAAAAACAAGGTTTCAGAAAAAAACCTTTTTTGTTTTACGATCCATATTTTTCTCGCATTTATGATGAGAGTATAGATAAATGTGCGCTGTGGAAAAGGTTTGCTGCTTCTGATGGGACTTACCGCATTCAGAAATTGGTTTTTTTTAAAAAAAGTTATACTTACTTAGATACTTAGATGGCCCGTCCTCAAGTGACGTGCGGGCCGCAGTACAGAAGTTGCAATTTTTCTCTGTCCCTCGCTTCAGATATCCACGATCTTCTTGGCCGTCGTCTGTGGCTGCGTCCACGAGTTCGGGGGCGAAAGTCGTATCCAGCTGATTTCTCAGCTGGCACATCCGTTCCACGAACACGTCTGCCCATCTCGTCTGGTTTTCCTCGAGGACGTTTGGCTTCGCGAGGAATCCACTCAGATGTTATTAGTGTCCATCTGTCGTCTATTCTTCTCATTATGTGACCGGCCCATCGGTGTTTGGCTTTCGCAACGTATTCCGCTGGGTCACGAAGACGGGACATTCTTCTCATATCCGTGCTGCGAAGTCCGACTAGATGTTGCTTGCGTCAGGTCATCTTCAGAAGACTGCGCTCGAGCGCCCTGTGGGTGGTCCGTAAAGCTTTCGACGTGGCTACAGTGTCGGCCCAAGTCTCAGCTGCGTAACAGAGCGCCGGGAGAACGGTTAAGTCGAACAGGTGGGCACGAAGCTCCGAGTCCGTCAGTTGGTCGATGGCTTCCTTCAGAGGCCCGAAGGCGGCCCAGGCTGCTCTTCTTCTCCTGTTAAGTTCTTCCCTCAAGTCGTTCTCCATCTTCATCAAACGTCCGAGATACACGTAAGAAGACGTCTCCATATTAGGGGTGCCTTCCAATTCCATTTCTGCATCTTCGCAAAGGGCGTTCCTCATAAACTGAGTCTTCTTCCGATTTATTCGCAGTCCGATCTTCTTCCCTACTTCGTACAGTTCCTTCAGCATCGTCTCTGCTTCAGTGATACTGCTCGAGAAGAGAACGATGTCGTCCGCAAAACAAAGGTTGGACAGGAATCTCCCATCAACTCGTATGCTCTCTCGTCGCAGTCCAGTGACTTCATCACCCACTGCAAGGCCGCGGTGAGCAGCTTCGGCGAGATTGTGTCGCCTTGTCGGACCCCCTTCCTGATTGGATGGTCAGGGGGCGATGGAATAGCTGCATCTCGTTGTACAGTCCTTGTAGCAGTTGGCTAGTGTCCTCACGTAAGCTGGGTCCACTCCTTGATCGACTAGCGCAGACAGGATGGCGTTACTTTCAATGCTGTCAAAGGCTTTCTCGTAGTCGACAAAGGTTAAGACGAGAGGCAGTCGCTACTCCCGGCAGACTTCCATGACCCTCGAAACGGTCTGCATGTGGTCCATGCAACTGAATCCCTTGCGCAATGCAGCTTTTTCTTAGGGTTGGGCTTCATCCAATGTCCTAGATATGCGAGCGAGAATAATGTCATGGAAAGCCTGTACAGCACACTCAGCAGGCATTTTGGAAGGTAATTCCGAAGATCCTCCCGTTCACCCTTCTTGAAGAGAAGGACGGTTCTTGACCTTCTCCACTGGTCGGGAATCTTCTCCTTCTGAAGGTAAGATGTCAAATGCGACGCTAGAATCTCGTGTAGACGGTGTCCTCCGGCTCGCAGAAGTTCGACGGAAAGATGATCTGGTCCTGGAGCAGTGGAATTCTTCATGGTCTGTATCGCAATACGGCACTTCAGCAGTTAGAATTCGTGGTGGTATTTTTCCAGTGGGAACAACGGGCATCTGCACGGGTGTCGATGAGCGGAAGAGGTTGGCTTAAAAGTTCTTCGCGATAGATTCCATCTTGTATCGGGAAGAAGTCGGAGTCCCGTCTTCGTTCAGTAGTGCAGCCAGCGGTACGTGATATTCGCAGAGGTCCCTTCGGCACTTCTTGAGACTTCGTCTTCTTTCGACTGCTTCCAGTATCTTGGCTTGCCTGTACTTCCTGAGATCCTCCTGCCAAGCTGTTCTGCCATTGGCGTTGGCTATCAATCGCTCGAGATGGGTTGCATGATCCTACCTTAAAAGTCTTCTTCTTTCGAGCAACTCCTTGGTGGTCCTAATGTGATCCAAGTTCTTCTCAAAAATCACTGAGGCGCATTCTCCGCAGGCTCGCAATCCTTTCAGAAGCCGGTCGTAGTCGTACGTTGGGTCCTCCTCGATGGGCCAGTCACATCTTGATATGAGCTCCTCCAGCCTGTTACCGTCATAAACGATTCGCTTCCTTCTCGCGGCACTGTGACAGACTTTCTTTTCCAGCCTTCGGCTGAGTCGTATCTTCGCTCGAAGGAGGCGGTGATCGGAGCCACTACAGAAGGATGGAACTACAGAGACATCGAGTAAGCTCCACCTTGGTGAGAATGTGGTCGATTTCAGCATGAGTCGTTCCGTTGGGCGATTCCCAAGTCCACCGGCGATGTTCTTTCTTCATAAAGATGGAGTTTCCATGGAAGAGTCGTGCGGCGGAGAGAAGGCGAACGAGACGGCTGCCGTTTTCATTTCGGAGCCCATATCCAAACTTCCCGATCCTATATTCCTTTTCTAGTGGCATCCCGATTTTCGCATTGAAGTCGCCCACAACATACTTGTAGAAGGACTTTTCGTTGCGGACGACCTCCTCCACGACTTCGTAGAAAGCAACTAGTTCTGAGTCGTCAGCTGCTGATGTTGGCGAGTAGCAGTTGATGATGCTGATGGTCTTCTGACGTAGAGGGCGTAGTCGTAGGATGCCTAGTTGAGATGATAGGATCTCAAGCGAATCGACAAGATGGACGATGATGGGTGAACGAAAAGCCGACGCCTCGTTTCGTGATGGATCCCTTTCACCACGAGTGATGGAAGAGGGTCCCATCACTCATCTGTCGCACGTCCTTCTTCCTGGACTTGGTTTCCTGCAGAGCGATGATGTGGTAGTTGATGTGCTCTGCAGCGTGAAGAGAAAGAAGAAGAGCATAGAGGTCGGCGTTTGTGGAGACTGTCCTGGCGTTGTAGGTGCAGAGCATGAGGCAGTCTCCATGGCGTGTCGCCCGGGCAGACGTGTCG